CATCGGAGTATTTCACACATATGTACAGCGTTTGGATTATGGAATCTAATATGGCATAATCGTTCATAATCATAGCCTTTAAAAATGTCTGTTTTTAGAAAATTAAAGAACTCATTCAGGTTATTTCGGCAGATGTCAGCAAGCGGTTTACTTTTACATTTTATGTCAGCTAGTTGACTTACATTTTAAGACAAACAAGTTTATTTTTACTGAATAACTTAACTATTAAGCTCACTAAAAATCATTGCAGCTGATTTAGATATTGCCATATGCTCACTTGAATGCAAAGGTACTTATTTACGGAACATTCAAGATCAGTTGATGTGTATTTTGACAGGTACCACACTTTTATTTGTATTTTTTTGAATTAACTTTCAATATCATTGTGTGTATGGAATGTTGGTCTTAGAATATAACCTATTGACTATTTAGAAAATATAGTATTTAAAAAAACATCTTGAAAGATATACGTGCATAACACCACATTAAAGACATTTTACTTTTGATTCCTAAACACATTTTAAATTCATTCAAATTGAAATATTTATTTGAGTGTCAAATTACAATGAATTAACAGAAATGACAAATTGTCATTAACTCTCAATGAGCGCATTTCTTAAAGTTAAAGTTATCGTTAAAGTTTTGAAAGTTCTTACAAAGCATACAGGTGGCCGGAAGATGACACACGCAGTCCTGGGGTGTAAATTACCCTTGGAGTAAAAACAACAATAACACTTACAACCACATTTCAGAACAGTTTCAGTATGTCATAAGGGGGTAAATTTTACCCTTGACCTATTAAGCTGAAATGCCCCAATCTGCCCAATTTTATGTTCTGAATATTGTGGTTTTGTTGGTACAATCTAAAGCCAATTCCATTTCTTCAGATATTCATTTTCATCTTTGCGCACTTTTGCATTTTTATAAGAATTATCTAGTTTAATCACAAGACCCAGTCTTTCTGTTCTTTATACTAGTATACTAGTATATTTGTCTGCTCTTCTTCATATTGATCTAAGAAATGATCTTCCATGTTGAGGTGATACATGCACTTCATGTACAGTATGTATATGCTTTATATTAACAATGGGATTCTCTCCATCAACTTCTTTGTCTTTCCCTCCTGCAGATAGGCCTAATAACACATGAATTCTGAACTCATTATAGTGGGTATGTCACCTTAAACCATGGTTCTAATGGATGTAATAGCTTTGGTGATTGACTTCTCCTGAACCTGATCCTATACTAAACAATAGAAATCATATCTAATCAAATAATATTATTTAATAAGGAAGATGCATTTCCACTGGTACCTATGATATATTTACTCTTTGGTCCATTTTGATGGAATTAGCTATATCATTAAACAGGTGGTTTTATTTGCCCATTTTTGAAAAAACAAATAATCATTCCAGGGTTAAGAAAAATTGAATAGAACACATTACCATTTATATAAGCTATGATACAAGTGTTCCTGTTATTTAAAATATCTGGGATTTTGCGGGTATCCCGATCGGAATAGTCAACAAGAGCTCTGAGAGCCAGAATAGCAGGAGCGGTAGTGTGAATAAGATATCTGCATCCTTTAATTGAGAAAGTCACAATGGTATGCAAATATTATATTTCTGGAGTTACATAGAGTGTTTTTTCAGTTCTGGTACTTGAAATTCAGCGCATGTTTAGCCGGATGCGTTCTGTTGTTTGCATGCTACCTCGATTGCATGTAACCAGAGGGGGGTTGAAGGTTCGACAGGAGGCAGATAAGAAGGCTAGGGTGGCAGAACCTTGTAAGACCAATGCCTCATAGAAAAAAACAGTTGTTGTTGTTATTATAAGATTGTACATATCATAATTGAAAACAAATTATGAATAACTAAATAAATAAATGACATTCGCGATTTCGCTGTTAACTTCAGATTTTTTTTATTAAATTCTTACAACTTGCACTAGACAGACTTAGACACGCTAACTTCTTTAAATGGAACAAAAATAATGAAAACAACACAACACAATACCTCTTGATCCTACACATATATACATGTGGATATATATAAAGCCAGGCATCAGGTGCAGACTCCTAATTAACACTGCACCTAGTGGAAATTCACCCTTTATATAATCATGTTCATTGTTTTTGTTAGATTTCAAAGGTTTACATGTGTCAAGTTGACAAAAGGTTGAAAGGTGACATAGCCTTCATTATATTATGTAACAATTTAAATTACAAAAAATACAACTTGTTAGTTCAAGCATTGGCCTTATAAATGACCCATAATAATGACCCATAATTAGGGTGTCTAAGTGCTTTCATATAAACATATCATGGAAATAAATACTGAATTTTGTTTCTTTTCCTATTTTTTATTTTTATACTCAAACAGGTACACATACTTTGTAATTTGCATGTGTGGCTATCACACACTTGTACTAATTAGTGTACATTTGTCTTTTATTTTCAAGGTACTTTTTCAAATGACTGTAAAAGTCATTTTCTAAAGTCAATTTGCCCAAGAGATGTCAGGATTTGTCAGTACTAAGTACGACCAGACATTTATTTTGACAAAATAGACATTAAGAATAGTAAAAATGGACATTTATTAATATGTTTTTTTGTTATTTTACTTTCCTTCTGCAACCCAATGATGGAAAATGACAGCATTTTATTTTATTAAAAACATAAGTATCTACTTTATTTTATTTATTCACTATTTAGAATAAAAATATTATCAATTGGGAAATTTAAAAGAAGATTAATTATTAGAACAAAACAGAATCAATCAAGAAATATCTTAGTTTCAAAGAAAATAGTGATAAAAGTAATCAGCTGTTCTGAATGGCTGGGTTTGAAGAGCTTGTGTTAAAGAGAGATAGTGTCGGAAGGGTTTAAGGTTAAACAAGGTCCCAATCCCTTTAGGACTTGACATTAGCTTAATTATGTCATTCATGTTTTTTCTGTTACTGCCCATAGACAAAATATAGCGTTCATTACATGGGGAAATTGGATAGACATTCAGTTGGGGATTCATGGTTACGTATACAACAATGCCATTGGCTATCACTTTTTATTACCAAGGCAATGGACTTGTTGCTATGGTAACGGTCTCATTATCAACCCTGGTTACCTTGATTCAACCTTGATGTGGAGGGAAAAGAAAGAAGAATGATGTAAATAGACAATCGCATTCACAAATTTTAAAAGTCAAGTGATCTATTATTTTACTAGGAAGGGAGGAAGAATTGTAGTGAGTGAAATGTATCGTTTGTTAAGCAGATGTTTGTGATACTGATAGTACTGTACTTGCAAATATACCTGTACCTAATGATCTTGAGTCATCTAACCTAGGCATAACATTACATTTGCCATTTGTATCTCTTAAAATATGAACATTATTTCTAGTATAATCTGACACATCCAAATGACTTAATTTCTAAACCATTCAGACTGATTTTAATTTCTTGTCACAATTAGTACAGTAGTTCCACTCTGCTTTGCTATTTTGATGTGGAAACATAAGATAGACAGGATCTTCTTGTGTTCTTTTGGATAAATTGAAATTTAATGAACTGAGCATGACCCAGTCTCGTATCTGTATGTAATGTTAAATAATTAGTGGTCCGATTCATCAGATGCCACATATAAAAGTAACGGGAAATTATAGGATGTACAGCGCAGTCATAATCTATGTATTTTCGTCGCCTTATGCACACTTTATTTCATTATGAAATTGAATTGGTAAAAATAGGCAAAATTTCATGCGTTACGTTCAGACAATTAACAGGATTATAGTGCCAATCACTGCCACATGAAGCATTAAAAAACACTGATCTCTGTGACTAAAAGAATTGTCGTTTTTTGAATATCAATCCATTTAATTGGTATCGTATTGTTAGTTTATTCTTTAACATTAATGCTTTTATTGGATCAAATTGATGCCTTTTAGAATTATTGCTTCTGATTTTAATAGCACTTGTCCATGTAAAATTCCCATTATATCAAAACAGGAATAAAGTTTTGTACCTAATAAATTTCTCCTGAATAGAAAACATATACGAATTAGCATGAAAAATCAAAGTATTCAAAAACTCAGAAAAAATGTTTAAATATAAAAGGTACATAAATATCTGTGATATCATTTAGAGGATGGAAACAGTCAGATTTTCTTCTCAATTTGCTTTTGTTTTGGATGAAGTGACTTGCTAATTAGTAGAATATAATGGGAATTAATCGTTTGAGTAAATTATTTTATGGCCACTTCCCTTGATACATGGGAAAGGATTACATAGATATCCCAGATTTTATGCCTTGTCAACTTGTAAAAAGGTGACATGACTGACAGCATTGTGACAATTATTTTAATTAAAATATTAATTAGTAATTTTGATAGATTATACCTTGGATTTGTCAAAAAGCATGGCTGAAATCCAATTTCTCATTACGGCAGTTCCTAAAAGTGTTTAAGCGGTTAGTTCTTGGTATACTGGCTAGAATATCGATAACATTTGAATATGTGGGAATCGAAACCATACTCATGGTCCACCTTGACCACAATGTACCAATAACAACACCATTTTAATTGTTAATTCACACACAGGTATGCTTCAGTTCAAGTTCAATCTACAAACCCAAAACCATGGAAGGGTGGTGGAGTTCAACCACAACCCAACCAATGCTCAACCTGCAACACTTCGAGAACTTGTTCTTCAGAATGAAAGTGTTATATATTTTCATAACAAAGTTGATGTGGCTATTTCATTGTGGCAAAACATTACCTCATATAACAACAAACATACAAATAGGAAATGACTCAAAACTGTGTTAAGATTATATTTCTAAATTCATTTCATGCGTGTTATTGTTTTTATTACAAGTCACAACAATCATCCATGTGATTAAAGAACGAAACACCTACGAGTTATACACATGTTTGGAATTTCATGAAATAAACAGCAATGACTTTCTGTAATAAGAAAACTAATTTATGTTGTTTTATGTGTTTTAGAAGCAGCAGTCCCGACCCCTATGCCACATGGACAATGGGGTGGAGATGCATTCCAGTCGTCAACATTCCCGCGTGCCCCACCTCCCTCCGTCACTTCACATCTTCATGGTCTCACTTCAGATTTGCCTCTACTCCAGACACAAGGTATGTTATATGTAAAACAATGTATACACTGTATCTCATATTTGTTTCACTTTTTTGTTACTGGCTGATATGACCAATACCCTTTGCATTCATTCGACTTCGCTTCTAAGAGAGCTACGTCTTCACTCTCTCAGTGTCATGTATTGTTTCAAAGGGTCATTTTATATAAGCTCACTTGATATGGAAATCAATGGTTTTGCAAGGTTGTTCAGTTTGACAGATGTGTCTGTCCCCTTTTCCTTCAGGTTGCTACTGATAATCAAATTTAAATTAATGGGATATTTTCATTTATATATGATATTACATTCAACTTACCAGTAATGGTATCAAGCAGTCATTCCATTTGCAAATAAAAAAAACAAGAGGATTCTTGTCAAATATAGCCAATGAGATATAGTTTTTAAGTAGAAATTGATGTAACAAAAGCAATATATGGAAACCATAGAATGGGGAAAACTTTCATTGCCGGATATTGCTACATTAAAATGTAATACTATCTTAACATACTCCTCAATTATCGTTCTTATTGATGCACATCTAGAAATAGTTGAGCGGATGAGAGCTTCAAATTGTGTCTGTTTAGATGAAATAAATGATCCAATTCGTTGCATGAAAGTATCAAAGGTTTCAAGCTCTGTTTTGATTACTTTATGATGACATAAAAGTCCAAATTGCTTTTTCATACTTTACACCCATTACATTTTTATTATCACGAAATAGATGATGAAAATTATAAAGATCTAAATATCATTGCAATTCTCCTAGAATGTCGTAATAAAAGTGAAGGAGTGCTTCTCCTCCATGAGTCAATGTAATAGAGGCCAATAATAGATATGTAATTTCTTGTTCTGAATCAGCAAACCATACTTTAAATATTACTTATAGGTGTCGCCACTGTCATAGGCCTCTGTCTTAAGCCTAGGTAGTATTTACTTGATGAGAAAAACAACTGTATCTCATGATATTGAAGAACATTATACCAAAAGGCATTCTATTGTACCTAACTGAAATAGCAGACCCCCATGCATCCTTATTTCTCACATTGTTTTTATTTGGTATTTCCAGGTGGGTCTCCTCCCAGAGCAGATAGTCTCTTAGAATCTCGACTCCCCATGTTACCTGGTGGACCAGAAGTGACGCAAGTATCCTCCACCCAGCCTGATCTCGGCCTCTCTGGGGATAGACAATTAGCGTTACTTGGCTCCGGCAATGAAATGTCCCAAAATCCCCGCCTACATCTTGATGCTCGCATTCAAAGCATGGACCAATTAATGGGGCCCAGATTTCCCAGTTTAGGGTCTGATATTCGCTATCCTGGTGGTAGTCAACTGTTGCCGACATCGCCAACAAGTCTACAATATGGTGCCAACAACAATATGACGATTCTAGGTGAAAGTCGGGCACTGTCATCTCTATCTAACGTCATCACAGGAAGCCAAAGCTACCAGTTGTCTCCACATGGACTCTCAGAAACCAGTAATCTATTTAGCGTGCCATCCACTACTGGGAGTTTTAATACAAGTCCCTCTGCCGTGCTATCCACCACTTTTTTATACCCACATTTATACAGCCCTGGTACAGCTAATCAATATAACAGTGGTCTATACCTACATGGTAGCAGTGATCTCAGAACTTATGAACTATTAGGAGGCCAGAGTGGCACCACTGGCAACCAGACCAGGGATGCCTCAGCCACGGGAAATCAATCAAGAATGTTGACCCCGCCTCAACAACAACAGCAACAGCAACAACAATCTATTGCTAACACTATAACCCCACCCCCATCCCGGCCAGCCTTCAAGCTAGAAGACACAGCCATGCAGTACAGTCGCACTGATTCATCAACCAATCAGCAAGCTCCACCTGTGCATCAACTGAGACAAGATGATTTGAGCCTGCCCCTCACACCTCCTCAAATCCACCGCACCCTGACACCCCCAAACATGGGGCTGCCCCAGGGCCAACAACAGCAACAACAGCAAACACAGCAACAGGAACAGAAACATTCAAACCAACAGGGGTTTCAGCCACTACAGCCTCAGAATGGCGATAATGGATCAGTTTGGCGACCTTATTGACTATTATTTGGTCACTGATTGAATTCCACCTGAGGCTTGGCAGCCGTGACAGCATCCATTGGGTGAAGACTTGCCCTAGTGGTAGAAGCATGTGACACCAATCACTTGTGACTCACTGAAAATTCACTTGTGACAAACAATGACATCACTTATGACAACCTAGTCCATCACTTATGATTCACAACAGGATCACTTGTGACAAACTAGAAGATGCACGGGTGAACAAACTGATAAGTTTCTACTATGTTGGGCATCTGCAGATGCAGGGGTCTTCGTGGCATCACCCTGGGTATGAGATGAGATTGCATGCAGAACTAGAGTTCAGGAGAGAACCTATATGTGTCTCTGTAGCTTATGTACATTTCAAAATTGTGATTTTTTGAAATATTTTGTATGATTTATTTTTGAAAGAGAGAGTATGGGTGTAGTTTTTGGCGGCCAATTACCTAGCTAACTGAGGAATAAAGACTTCTATTGACGCAAAGGGAAATCTTCTTGCCCTTTAGTGCCAATCCGCTCACAATTAGGAATACGTAGACACACACCATATTTTGCTCAAAGACACCTTCTTTAGAAGAAATCTGTACCACTTTGAGAGTAGATTAGGATCTTGAACAATTTCCCACTCTTATTATGAGGAGTGTACTATATATAGGGTCAGACCTGAGCTTATGATTCAATACTTGTTAATGGGAAAACACATTTTGAACTATTTATTCTTTAACCTGTATTTATTATGTGTTTTCTTTGATCTCATGTTGGAGAATTTCCTCATACACTCAAGTATTATATGGTTTTAGTATTGAATACTAGAATACTATTGAGTACTGTACCACTATTGAGTACTTTAAAACTAAGTACTCAGACATCTTTACAATACTATATTATTTGATTCAAGAACTTGTATATTTTGTAGGCATCTCGCAAACAAATGCTTTTAGTTAGTTATATTAATCGAAAACACATATCAGAGTGTTCAGTGAAAACACCCAAACACCCTAAGAGGGCAAACAGCATGACTGATTTTGTAGAAATTGGGTTATATATCCAAAACTAGATAATGGACACCATTAGAAGATTTAAGTTTCGGTATAGACAGAATGATGTCATACTTCAATTTTCAAAAGTGTCTTATTTTTATGAGTAGTTGTGATTTTTTATATAAAACAAGTTAATTGTTCAAAGTTAGAATGTCTTTGAACTGTCTTCAATTTTACTCATATGGTCACATATTAATGTAATTTATGAATTGAGAGACTTTACGCATACATAAGCATTATCTCATGTTGAGGATTAGATATGGATTATATCTAAAGGAAAATATCAGTATATTTAACCACCTTAGAGAATTGCATTGAAAATCAGATGGAGTGAATTTGAGATTTGCCATTTCTGTATAACACAGATGCATCTCAATAACTCCTCTATCCCATAATATATCCCATAATATTTGACATAACCATACTAGATTACTGTACAGGCAAGCACTAAAGGCTATCACATTTTATGTAGAAAATGCACTAAAATCAAAAACCAATAGCTTGTGTGTACCTCTTAAAAATAATTTCATGATTTTAAAATGATTAGATCTTGTGATCTTGTGGCTCTCGAACTACACAAAGCAAAACAAGACAAGTTAAATATTTGACTAATCTTTTGCTTCCGTTTTGAGATGCTAATGAGAACTCTGGGTAATCAAAACCCAGAATTTTAGACAATAAAATCGTAATTTCAGTCGTGATTTCATTTTTTAGAGAAACACTATTGGGTAAAATTAACATACAGCAAAAACCAAAGGAAATTGGGTGGAGGGACTGTTAAACCTTTGCATCTAAAACCACTTGCTTCAAACGCCTCTTGAGTACACTCTCATAGGGATACAATATTATAATAGGCAGGGCAAGCAAGCTTCATATAACTAAAACAGTGTGACTAGAATATCCACTGGTTTGCTTGTATAGTTTGGCACACTAATTTAGGAAAATATTTCGAATGTAACTCATACGAGGAAAATGTTGCAATTTGAAATTTAATTGTATTTTTGTGGATTCATAATTTCTCAATTTTGAGAATTTTAAATGTTTGTACAGTTTTACTTAACTCAGTATACCATATGATATTATACTCCAAGTTGATGTGAAATTACTACCTTAAGTATGTATGCATAGTACTGGATGTAGATGTTATTTAATGTTATCTTACCTATTACATGGTTTAACCAAAAAGTAATTTTCAATGTGTTTTAAAGTTACATGGTGCTTCGCTTGTAGACATTGTAATATCCAAGTCTTTTGACTTAACATGGGCATCACACTACAGTATTTTGTGAGGGAATGTATGGTAGCTATTACCACTTATTAAGGTGGGACTGGGGTCGATATTTCTCAAAATTACATGTTCATGAACAAGGTCCCACTTTAAGTAGAAGATGAGAAATTAAGTATTGTTATGAGAGAAGCGTTTGTTGTTATGACGCTATAGCGTTATGCTTGATTGAATGATTCAAAAGGGATAAAACTTTTTGCCAGTTCTTGTATTTTTGATACTGAGGGCTGTCTAAGAAATTGTGAGAAAGTCATTGTATTTTTCAGTGCGAAGAGAGTGAAATAAGATAGTGTACATAGCATAGATCCTAGATATAGCTATAGCTTTTATACTCTGCATATATAAATTATTTTTCTGTAAATCCAATAAAAATCCAATTGGGTCATATTTCACTGCTTGTATATGCTATTATGTCTTTCAATAAAAAGTCAATAAAAAAGACAAGTTAAAATGAAATATATGACATGGTGGCATTTACAAGCTTTGGAAGACCTTTGATATGAAATATATAGGTTACAAGCCAAGTCAAACTTGGGTTTGTCTTTTGATTAATTTTAATCATATTAAATAATTAAATCCAATGCAAGACCAGCTGGGACAAGAGATGTAATGTTTTACAAGCCTCAAGTTAAGAATCTTTGTAATTAGTTTTTAACGATAATGAACAAAAAAAACAGAATTAGTCAGTACCTGACATTCTCAATTTTATAATTGTTCAATATTATAAAAGTACATTTATATGTAATGTATATGATCCATGTGTACCATTTTTGGCCATAATGTAGAAATTCCATGAGAGAGAGCAAATCAGTAGTACCATCAAGCTTAATCAAAAAGGGTAAAAGAACGTTGCAATAATGCAATTAAAGAAACTGAGGGCTTGATTCTAGTCACAAAGTCACAAAGTGAGAAATAGTTTAATGAGAATTGATGGTTGTACTGATTCGTGATTTGTTCTATGAGATGATTGGAATATTAGTCTTGGCATCACTTTAAGCAAGAGACAATGCAAGTTATTGTATTAAATCAATGTTATTGAATGTGTGAAAGAAATATAAGTATTCAGATATAATTATACATTATTCATATGTTGTGTTTTTTGTATGATATAAATAATGAACTCCCCCAGTCAAGTGGAGGCTGCAGCTATTTCAAGTTTTGAAAATAAGAAATCATGATAAATTGGCATATTTTGACCAGATGAGCAATGTTTAGTCTTAATACCCCCCCCCAGTCTTTTGGGTCTATTGCCTGGTGTGAAAAGTGCGATACAACCTCTTTGATGATCTCAAAAACTCCAAAATGGTAAAAAGTGTAGAATTTCCATTGAATTGTCCCACAGATGAGTTGCCATGGTAACACTCCTACCTTGATTTCTAAAGTTAAGTGGCTAAAGTAGCACCCTCTCTCTGGATCTCCATGGTGCATATGCGGAGATCTCATGACCCCATGACACCCCTAATGTTAACACAGATACTGAGAGATTTAAAGCAATAATTAATTGGAGCTTTTAAAAGCCAATTAATGATTTCTATAACAACTTGTATTGAGATGGAAGCTGTGTTATATACAGTTGTGTTATTAAAAGAAATTTTTTCTAATCAAAAATTGAATAGATGCTTTTATACAAATATCTCATTGAATGATAAAGGATAATAACTAAGGAGTATATTTTAATCTAGGCTTTTTGTATGTCATGTAATATTGTAATACCATCGGATGGTATAATAATATTAGGGGCTCTTTTTACATCTTACACAGGTGTCCTTTTTGGAACCATCCTACCTTACGATTTGGTCGCAAGTCATTGTTCATCAAAACGTAGACAATAATTTTCTCTGAATCGTAAGTTAGGATCTACCAAAAGTGAACTCTTAGCTATTTTTCAGTCACATTTTCAGAGGGCTGAAAAGATTATTTCATCATGTTTATGGTCATTCTGACCATTTTCATTGTGTTCCCGGTCATGTAAATGATATGTGGAACTAGTTAAACTGATTGGAGGTGCAAACAGAACTCTGTTATCTTGGTTCAAAAAAATTTCAAAATCCAGCATGGTTTTGACATTTTTTGTTTTGTCATTTCCTGTTAACTTCCATAGCACCCTAAGATTATTTGGTAAATGTAATTTTTTGATGAAAGTGGATGTCCAATTTTAAAATTCAGATCTTGTTCTTAAATTTTTCCATAATATTTTATGGAAATTATTATTTTTCAGATAACATTTGCTTTTTTAAAGATTGCTTGTTACATTTCAGACTGTTATTCTTTCCTGCCACAGCTAACGGTCTCTCAATGAATTGACGTGTAGCACACTCTCGATGCTCCTGCCAATCTGGCTTAGATGAAATCTGCCAACACATTTGCACAGAGTCTATATTAAGTTACAATATATTTTAAAACAATGTAATCTCACCCAAAAATCTCTCATTATTTTCGTTTGATTTAACCCAAGGAGACAAAAGTTTGAGACCTTGCATTTTATGATATAAAAAACATGATTTTATTCATTTCTTGATATAAAAAACGTTCATTTCAGTTCTCCCGATTATATCATACCTACAATCAAGTAGAAGCTTATATTTCTTTAATTACATCACAACAGATGAAATGATATTTAAAATGATATTTGATTATGCAATACATATTTTCAAGATATTCTAACACCCATGGTTTATAGCATTAGAAAGCTAGATGAGAACACAAGATAGGAAAATAATAAGGGATTCTGTTTCACCCTTTCAAGACCTTCACAAGCTGAAGTACATCATCCATATGTAATCCTAATATGTCCCCCTTGCTAGACAATACAATCATCTCACAGAATCATCTCGCAGTATAATCAATAAACTTACATTAAAATACAATGTGAAAGGGCATTTTTGACATAACAACACCAACAAAAGTTTTAATGATTTTTGAAAATTTATTAAGTATTTTTTCAAGATGGAATTGATGTGTTACAACATGAAGGACGTGTCAATGGTACATATGCCTCGTTGATGCCTGGTCTCTATGGGAATATCATCTTACATTTTATGTCACAATGTTGATATCTGAAGCATTTATTTTCATATCAGAGACCAATTAAAATTTGATGAGGTGACATAGGATTTTTTTATAGACATACTGTATTTTTTTTATAAAATTATGATCCAAGATATAATACGTTTGATTAAAAATACATTATGAATATCAATGCCAATATAAAAAATATCAAAGAAACTGTTCTCATGATGAGTTTGACATTAAGCCTCATATATGCCCAATTGAATATCAGATTTTATCTGTGGACATAAATAAATGATACAAATTAATTTCAACTTTTTTCAATTTTTAAAATATCCTACAAAAGCTGCATTTCAAAGTAGATCTATATACCAGTAAACACAGCTCAATTTTGAGGATATAAAAAATCCCATTGAAATTATATTGATAATGAAGAACACAACTCTATTCTGCAACTAATCAACCTATAATATGCCAGATTTGAAATTGACACTGGATTGATTTCTTTTGTACAAATGTTGTGAAAAACATAGTGAAAGAAGATAAGTTAGTATAAAAATACACTCTGAAGTGCATTTTGTGCAAGATTAACACACAAAAACGTGAAACAATTTAATATTGATAATTCTGTGCAAAATGATTGGAATGAAATGCATTCATCCCTGAATCACAAATCGTATGTAAAAGTGGCAAAGTTGTCATCTTTGATCCTATAATCAAAGTACACCAAAACCAAACAAGGCATGAACGTTATTAAATGTCATCACGACTTGGCTGTAATTGCAAAAGTGTGACAATATGTTACTGATTCTGAACAATGATACCAAACACCAAACCCTAGTCACAAAAAACAATGACTGTAATAATATGTCACTACTTATTGGTGGTGATGTATAAAATCAGAACAACAAATAACTTGCACAATCAATAGACTTTGATTTCTGTAAATGTCACAGTTTGGAAAGAATTAATATTTAGAGACAAGATTTTTAGAACTCTTTGATATTTTAGTTATAAGAGACTGGGCCATAATAAATGCATACTGAATGCTTTATTTTTTAGAAATAATAAATACTGTACCAAATGTTGCTTAAATAAAATAGTAATCTCAAATCTAATGTCTAATACTCCTTTCATAGTTCATACAGATACATGTTGCTAAGTGTTTATATTATTGCCCTTTGTGCTGTTTTTGTCATCCTAAACTTCAGTGGACCTGGTCAAACTTTTGACTGGGAAAGTTCAAATGCATTTTAAATATAAGCCAAAACAAGAATAATAGATGATAAACATCCTTTACTCAAATGTGTATTGCCCAGACTTGTAGTCTTGTAAAATTCCCCTGTGATTGTTATTTGGTTATATTCCCACTGAAGCGCTTTGATTAAATATTAACCCATCAGATAATACATCTTTCCTGGAGTAACAAGATAAACAACCATTTTATTGTATCCTGGAAACAAATATAAAAAATATACTGTCATAAAATATCAAATAAAGCAAAAAGCAAAGAATAAAATAATCAGATGTAGTATTTTTGTTCTTATTAATCCAAATACCTGACATCAACATTATATTTTGTCAGTATGGGGCATCAACGTGAAATATGTGACACACAAAAGGGCATTTTCTGCTCAGGAGAGGTTCAATTAGCGAGTATTAGACATAGGGTGGTTCACGAAAAAACATCTATCTCTTATCTAACATCATTGTTCTATGTTATTTCAACACCAGAAGTCCGCAAGAATAAAATGGTTCCATGGAGTGATTTTCATTGTTTTGAGTTGAAGCATTTGTAAAACCTGCAATGTTCCAGCTCTTTGATCTAGTCTCCTAATGAGCCAAGCACAAACTCATGATTGCTTATTTCAATGTCATTTTACATAAAATATCTTTTATGAAATATTTTTTGAATGCATTTAAATTAAATGATGGGGAAATTTCTGAAAAATCTGATTGAGCCACACACCACATAAACATATCCCGTATTTTTATATTATTTTATATAAAAACTCCAAAAAACCTTTAGACTGATCATGT